CTTTATAGTTTTGGAGCCTGTCCTGGAACTTATTCTGTAGACCAGGCTGGTCTTGAACTCACAGATATCTGCCTGCCTCTGCCTCCCAAGTAAGTACTGGGATTAAAGGCATGTGCCACCACTGCCCACCTTTTGTGTGTGTGTGTGTGTGTGTGTGTGTGTGTTTTGTTTTGCTTTTATAGACAGGGTTTCTCTGTGCATACCAAATTAGCCTCAAACTCAGAAATTCTCCTGCTTCTGCCCCCTCCCTCAAGGCACGTGTACCTCCCATTGCCTAGCCAATAATAATACTTTTTTTTTTTAATGGTGAAAACAGATAATACATTCTTGAAGCTGCTTTGATTAGTGCTTGCCAGGACTGTAGGGAAAGAAAGTTTGGAAAAAGGGGTGACTGTAAAAGAACATGGTTTTACATTTTCCTCATGTAATATTTATAAACGACTGAACACTATCTATATAAGGTTATACCTAGCATTTTGTGTTCCAGTATTCCAGATTTAGGTGATTCTGAGTGCACTTGTATCCTTGTTTTAATTTGCAGTTCCTTAATCAGTTGATGACAACTGTTTTTTTATTCTACCATTTGTCATCTATATATCTTATTTGCTGAGATGTCTAGCTTTATCTTTTACCTATCTTTAAATTTGATTTCCTCTCTTCCCCTTCAGTCTACTCCCTTCATTTCTGCTTCCTTTACCCATTCTCTCCCCTTTTTTGTAAAGATTTATTTATTTTTTCTGTATACAGTATTCTATCTGCATGTATCTCCGAGGGCAGCAGATCTCATTACAGAAGGTTGTGAGCCACCATGTGGTTGCTGGGAATTGAACTCAGGACCTCTGGAAGAGCAGTCAGTGCTCTTGAACTCTGAGTCATCTCTCCAGCCCCCTCCCCCTCTTTTTTCCCATGAATTGTATGCATTCTTTATATATATTTGAGGTAATGGTATGTTATAAGATATGTTCATTGTGAAGATTTTCTCCTAGTCAGGAGTGACCTGTCTTACTTACTCTCTTCACATTGTCTTTCATAGTGCAGAAGCTTTAAATTTTTTATGTAGTCCAATTTATCAATTATTTCATGAATCTTGCCTTACATCCAAAAAGTCTTCACCATACCTAATATTACTGGAGTTTTCTCCTGTATTGTCTTCTGAGAGTTTATAGTTTGCACTTTACATTTAGGTGCATGATTCAGCTGAGTTAATTTTTGTGAGGGGTACAAACGCTCTCTCTGTCTTTATATATGTACATGCACACAATACACACACACACACATATATATGTAAAATTTATTCTCTCATACAATACATCCTGACTACAGCTTAACCTCCTTCCACTCTTCCCAATCCACTCCCCACTTCCAGTCTCCTCCAGATTCCCACCCCTGTCTTCCCCAAGAAAAGAGCAGGCCTCCCCAGGGATATAAACCAAACAAGGCACAAGATACAATAAGATCAGGCACAACCTCTCACATCAAGGCTGGGCAAGGCAATCCAGTAGGAGGAAAAGGATCCCAAGAGCAGGCAAGACAGCCAGAGACACCCCATTCCCACTGTCAGGAGCCTCCCCACCAAATACCAAACTAGCAACCATAACACATGCAGAGGACCTAGCACAGATCCATGAAGGTCCTGAAATGGTCTTTTCAGTCTCTGTGAGCCCCCATGAGCCCTGCTTAGTTGAATCTGTGGGTAGTCCCATGTTCTGAGGGGAGGACCTGATGGAGACCTCCAATCTGGGCTTTCTCTCTCCCTAGTGTTTGGCTGTGAGTCTGCATCTGTTCCCATCAGCTGCCAGAAGCAGCCTCTGATGTCTGGACTAGGCACTGATCAATGAGTATAGCAGAGCATCATTAGGAATCATTTAATTGATTTTATTTGTTTATTTTTAAATTTATTTCTTTATTTTGCCAGTCATGTTTGGTTCTACCCTAGGTCTCTGGGCTATCTAGCGTCTGGTTCCTGGTCATGCAGGTAGTTCTGGGCATGGGCTTCCTCTGTGTTGTGGTCCTCAAATTAGGCCAGTCATTGGGTGGTGTGGTTCTGTGCCACCATTTCCCTACTACATCTTGCAGGCAAAACAAATTGTAGGTTGAAGGTTTCATGGCTGGGTTGGTGTCCCAGTCTCCCTCTGAAAGCTTTGCTAGGTTACAGAAGATGGTTGTTTCAGACTCCACATCTTCTATTACAAGGAGTCCCTGATAGAGTCACATGCATCGGCAGGTAGGCAGGTGGCGCGTGAGCGAGCACACCCACACACCCCTACCTACCTTTTTGTTTTGCTGTGAGATTTTTTTTTTATTGCCTGTTTTCTTGGTTATAGTTAACTTCCTGAGTTGGGGTTTACCTTCTAATACTTTCTGTAGGGCTGAATTTGTAGATCAATATTGTTTAAATTTGACTTTATCATGGATTATCTTGTTTCCACTCTCTGGCATGGCATCTGTGGTCTCTTAGAGTCTGTTGGACATCTGTCCAGGGCCTTCTGGCTTTTAGAGTCTATATGGAGAAGTTGAGTGTAATTCTAATAGGTGTGCCTTTATCTGATATTTGTTTATTTTCCTCCTTGCAGCTTTTAATATTTTTTCTTTATTCTTTATGTTAAATGTTTCCATTATTGTGTGGTAAGGGGGGGGGATTTCCTTTTCTAGTTCAATTTATTTGGTGTTCTGTAAGTTTCTTTTTCCTTTATAGGCATTGCCTTCTTTAGGTTAGGAAAATTCCTTCCTATGACTGTGTTAAAAATATTTTTTGGGCCTTTATATTTGCTGGGATACTTCTCCTTCTTCTATTCCTATTATTCTTAGATTTTGGCTTTTTATAGTGTCCCAGATTTTTTGGGTGTTTTGTGTCAAGTGTCTTTTAGCATGAACATTTTCTTTGACCAGTGTATCTATTTCTTCTATCATGTCTTCAATGTCACTTTTTGTATTCTGTTGGTAAAGCTTGCCTCTTCTCTTATCTAGATTTCTTTTTTTACTTAAAGGATTCCCAAAGTTGGTGTTTTCTTTATTACTTCTATTTCCATTTTTAGGTCTTGAACAGTTGTATTCGTTTCCTTCAATTATTTGTTTATTCTTCTTGGTTTTCTTTAAGGGATTTATTGAATTCCTCCGATTTTTTTTTTGACTGCCTTTTCCTGAATTTCTTTAAGGGAATTATTAATTTCCTCTTTAAGGCCCTTTGTCATCTTTATAAAGTTGCTTTTAGGTTGTTTTCTTATGTTTCAGCTGTGTTGGGATATTCAGGGCTTGCTATAGAGGACAGCTGGGCTCTGGTGGGAACTGATGTTGATTATGTTCTTGAGCTGGCCTCTAGGCATCTGGGTTTGGGGAGATAATAGGTCTAGGTGCCTATTTCTGAGTTTGTCTTTGTATAATAGGTGTTTTGTTTCTTTGTTTCTGTATCCTCTCTGGTCTCCTGGCAAGTGTGGTCTCTGGTTGAGGAGGGGGTCTCTGCCTGAGTTGGGGTCTCGGACACAGCAACAAGGAGGCATGGGGGGGATTGGGGATAGGGTGGGGGACTTAAGAGAGTAGGGGACCACACAGGTGGGCAGCATACTTGGGTTTCTGATGGGTGGCATGGCCTGTAGTTGAGTAGGGGTTCTCGGTCTGATTTGGGGCCTGGGACTTGGTGACAAGGAGGTGAGGGTGGATTGGGGAGGGGCATTGAGAGAGTGGGAGAGGTCTGTTGGGCAGTGGCCTACCTGGACCTCTGGTGGCTGGGTTGGTCTCTGGTGGAGCAGGGGCCTCCATCCGAGTTGGGGGCTGGGCTGAGTGTGTATACAGAGTTTATGTTTTCCCAGTTGAAACCAGTTGTTCTTGCACCTCTTACTAACACACCTTTTCTTACTGTGTTGCCATCACTTCTTTGTGAAGGGGTGGTTGAAGTCTGTGTGGGTCTGTTTATGGGTTTTAGTTTTTGTTCAGTGGATTGTTTCGGTAGATTGTTTGCCTCCCCCCCCCCCCCATACTCCACAGCTTTGAATTATGTAGCTTTAGAGCATTCTCATGGATTTATTTATTTATTTATTCATTCAATTTTCAAGGATTTTAGAGAGACTCATTCTGCCATGTGGTATCTCAATGTATTTTTGTTAGGTGTTAGGTATGGTAAGTTTTTTTTTTTAAGGGTTTTCAAAACAGGGTTTCTTTGTGTAGCCTTGGATGTCATATAGCTTAGCCCTGTAGACTCACACTGGCCTTGAACTCATAGAGATCTGCTTGCCTCTACTTCCCAAGTGCTGAAAATTATCTAAAATGATCAATGAAGAAATTGAGACTCAGTTTGTGATTGAAATTTATTATCTCAGCTATTGTTACTAAAAGAAGCAGAATTTTTGTTCTTTTGTACTCTGTTGTTTTCATGTGAGAAAATTAGATTTTTCTCTCTTTCATGGCACTGTCATGAGATTTGAAGATTAGTACATGGATAATGCCCCCAATTTCAATGTGTAAAATTAATAAAAAAAATGTTCTTCTGTGTTTTTCTCGGTTTTACTTTTACCTTCTGTTTCCTCCCAAACACGAGTGAACTATAGTAAAACTCTGAAAATAATAGATTAGACTTGAGAAAGGTTGGCAGTAAAATTTCCCTTGTTTGAAAATTATACTTCTGTTGTATAAATGAAACTTTTATTAGTATTGCTGTAAATAAATGCTGAAAGGAAAAATATAGATTAATCTCTCTGTAATATAATGATACTGACTTTAGCAACTGAGTAGAAACAATAACAACCAACTTAGAGACTAGTATAGTATGCAGCATGGGAGAGTGAGTGAATGAATCAGGAAATAGTTTGGAATGTACTTCCTATCTGCCATAGAAAAAAGACCAAATAAAAATAATAACCTGCTTTTTCAGGAGTAAACTGCTAGTACTTCATTGTAGATCCTAATGAAGCCAAAGCATAGTAAGGAAAAGTTCACATTTGCTTTTTTCGAAAATTACTCTATGTCTCTTATAGAATGACAGTAACATTATTTTAATATCTTTTTAGGTTGGTACAGAGGAGTTTCAACAAAGAAGCCTAATGTGAAGGTAATGGAGAGTTTATCATTGTGTTCCTCAATGTGTAAGATTTGCCTCATATGTTATTAACAGTCATAACAGCTGTTTCTAGTTCATCTTTAATCCTTTATAGTAGATATAGTCATCTTTTTTGGCAGAGTTGTGTAAGAGTCTTCTAAGGCCCAGGCAGTATTAAAATGATTTTTCAGAAAGCAAAGAAAATGCAAATGTGGTTATAACTATATGTTTATCTTGAAGAAACCTATTCATACTTTTAAGTAATTTTTCTTCAAGATTTGACAAAAACTAAATTGACTTATTTATAGTTTTAGTGCTGTGGAACCATATGTCTACTTAGATGAATTTATTGCTAAGATGCAAAGTAGGAAAAATAAAAATAATGCTTAACAAGGCATTTCTTTGTTGATATTAAAAATTAAAATGTGAACTTAAATAAGGCTATATAGAATACTGATGTCATATCTTAGATATTATGTGTTCAGCCCATTATTACTATTAACTTAATAAAATAAAATATATTTTAATGAGCAGTTATAACTAAAACATTCTTTTTAATGTTTTATTATTATATTATTAGTTATTATTATTTTTATATCCTGATCACAATTTCCCCTCCTTTTTCTCCTCCTAGACCCTCCCTTACCACTTCCCCTCTGAGCCACCCTTTCTACCCTCTTCTCCTATGTTTCTATTTAGAAAAGGGCAGGCCAGGGCTTCCAGGGATATCAATCAAACATAGTGTATCAAGTTACATCAACACTAAACTACTCTCTTCATATTAAGGCTGGGCAAAGCAAACACAGTATGAGGAATAGGGTCCCAGAAGTCTGCAAAAGAGTCAAAGACAGGCCCTGCTCCCACTGTTAGGAGTCCTACAAGAAGACCAAAAGACATAACTGTAAAATATATTCAGAGGGACTAGGTCAGTCTCATGCAGGCTCTCTGGTTGTTGGTTCAACCCGTTACTCCAGGAGTTGATTCTGTGGGTTCTTGTGTGATGTCCTTGACCCCTTTGGCTCCTACAATCCTTCCTCCTTTTCTTCCAAAGGGTTGCCTGAGCTATGACTGCTGTTTGGCTGTCAGTCTCTGTATATGTTTCCATCAGTTGCTGGGTGAAACCTCTCTGCTGACAATTGGGCTAGACACCAATCTATGATTAAAGCTGAATATCATTAGGTATCATTACATTGACTTTTTCTTTTGACAGTTTTGTTTGGTTCTGTCCTAGGTCTCAGGGCTATCCATCCTCTGTGCACTGGCAATCCAGGCAGTGTTAGGGGTGGGCTTCCTCTTGTGGTATGGGTCTCAGGCTGGACTGGTCATCAATTGGCTACTCCCATGATTTCTGTGCCACCTTTACCCAAGCACATCTTGTAGGCAGGACAGATTGTAGGTTGAAAGTTATGTGGCTGGATTGGTGTCCCAGTGCCTTCACTGGAAGTTTTTCCTGGTTATAGGAGATGGCTAGTTCAGGCTGTGTATCTCCAGTTGCTAGGAGTCTTAGCTAGGATCACCCTTTTAGATTCCTGGGAGTTTGCATTTCACTAGGTTTTTCCCTCATCCCGAAATGTGCCCCTCCTTTAGTCTTTTCCAGTACTCTTCCCTGTCTATACTGCCCCTCTAACTTGATTCCTCCTGTTCCCAGTTCCACTAGCCCCCAGTCCACCACCAAAATATATTCTATTTCCCCTTCACAGGGATATCCAAGTGTCTTCCCTAAGCTAAGCTCTTCTTGTTAGCCAACCTTTCTGGGTCTGTGTATTGTAGCATGGTTATATTTTACTTTCCAGCCAATATCTTTCTGGGTCTGAGTTATCTCACTCAGGATTCTTTTTTCAAGTTCCACCCATTTATCTGCAGATTTCATGATGCCATTGTTTTTAACACATGAGCAATATGCAGTTGTTGTATAAATGTACCACATTTTATTTGTCCTTTCTTCACTGGAGGGACATCTGGATTATTTCTAGTTTCTTGCTATTATGAATAAAGCTGCTGTGAACATAGTTGAGCATGTGTCCCTGTGATAGGATGGAGTGTCCTTTAGGTAGATGCTCAGGAATGTGATAGCTGGGTCTTGAGGTATATTGATTCCCAGTTTTCTGAGAAACTGCCATAGTGAATTTGAAAGTGGCTATACAAGGGGTGGAGGGAGGAGTGTTACCCTTGATCCATATACTCTCCAGCATGGGCTGTCACTTGTGTTTTTGATCTTAGCCATTCTGACAGGTGTAAGGTGGAATCTCAAAGATGTTTTAATTTGCATTTACCTGATGGCTAAGGATGTTGAACACTTTCTTAAGTGTTTCTTGGCCATTTGAGATCCCTCTGTTGAGAATTGTCTGTTTAGATCTGTACCCCACTTTTTAATTGATGTCTAGTTTCTCCAATTCTTTATATATTTTGGAAATTAGCATTCTGTCAGATGTAGAGTTGATGAAGATCTTTTCCCATCAGTGGGTTGCCATTTTGTCATAGTGATGGTGTCCTTAGCCTTTCAAAAGCTTTTCAGTTTCACGAGGTCCAATTATTTCCTTAGGGGTTGTGATTCTATTTAAATTGTTTATCTGGTATTTATTTAACTTTGGTAAGTGGTATCTATGAAGAAATTTGTCCATTTTTTTTTTTTTTTTTTAGTTTTTCAATTATGTGAAGTACAGGTTTTTGAAGCATGACCTGATTCTTTGGATTTCCTAGGTGCTTGTTGTTATGGTTCCCCTTTTTGTTTCTGATTTTGTTAATTTGGAAATTCTCTCTCTGTCTTTTAGTTGTTTTAGATAAGGGTTTTCTATCTTTTTGATTTTCTCAAAGAAGCAACTCTTTGTTTCATTGATTCTTTGTATTGTTCTCTTTGTTTCTATTTTATTGTTTTCAGCCCTCAATTTGATTATCTCCTGACATCTACTCCACTTGGGTGTATTAGCTTCTTTTTGTTCTAGAGTTTTCTGGTGTGCTGTTATATTGCAAGTATGAGATCTCTCCAAATTCTTTGTAAAGGCACATAGTGCTATGAATATTCATCTTAGGACAGCTTTCATTATGTCCCATTAGTTTGGACATGTGCTTTCATTTTCATTGAATTTTGGGAAGTATTTAATTCCTCCTTTATTTCTGCTTTTATCCAGTAGTCATCAGTATAGAGTTGTTCAGTTTTCATGAGTTTATAGCCTTTCTGTTATTTCTGTCATTGTTGAAATCCAGCTTTAACCTGGTAGATGCAAGGGGTTATTTTAATTTCCTTGTATCTTTTGAGACTTGCTTTGTGACTGAATGTGTGGGTCAATTTTGGAGAATGTTCCATGAGGTGTATGCTGACAAGAAGGTGTATTCTTTTGTGTCTGGGTTCTGGGTGAAATGTTCTGTAGATATCGGTTAGGTCCATTTGGTTCAGAACATGGTTAGCTCCATTATATCTGTGCTTAGTATTTGTCTGGATGACCTGTCCATTGATGAGAGTGGAGTGTTGAAGGTTCCCACTATCAATGTGTGAGGATTGATGTATGATTTAAGCTTTAGTAATGTTTCTTTTATAAATGTCGGTGCTTTTGCATTTGGAGCATAGATGTTGAGAATTGAATTGTAATCTTTGTGGATTTTTCCTTTGATAAGTATGTAGTGTCCTTCTCTATCCAGAGTAATTTTGATTTGAAGTCTATTTTGTTAGATATTACAGTAGCCACACAAGCCTGTTTCTTGGGGCATATGCGGAAAACCTTTTCCAACCTTTTTCTCTGATGTAATGTCTTTGATGTTGAGGTGTGTTTCTTGTATGCAGCAAAAGGATGGGCCCTTTTTTTTTTTTTTTTTTGCATCTGTTCTATTAATCTGTGTCTTTGTATTGGGGAATTGAATCCATCAATATTGAGAGATATCAATAACCAATGATTGTTAGTTCTTGTTATTTTGTTGTTTTTGTTGTTGTTGGTGTGCGTGTGTGTGTGTGTGTGTGTGTCCTTTGGGTTATGCTGATGTGAGATTATTATTGCCTATGTTTTTGTGGGTGTAGTTAACCTCCTTGGGTTGGAGTTTCCCTTCTATTACCTTCTGTGGAGCTGGGTTTGTGGATGGATAATTGTTTAAATTTGACTTTATCATGGTTTATCTTTTTTTTTTCCATCTCTGGTTATTGAAAGTTTTGCTGGGTATAGTAGTCTAGGCTGGTATGTGTGGTCCCTTAGAGTCTGCAGCACATTTGTCCAGGTCCTTTTGGTGTTTAGAGTCTCCTTGGAGAAGTTTAGTGTGATTCTGATAAGTTTGCTTTTATATGTTACTGTTACAGGCAATTTTTCTGCCAGCCTGGTTCCAGAGCCATGTCAGCCTCAAATAACACGCAGAGACGTTGTATTAGATATAAAGCTGTTGGCCAGTTACTAGCATTTCTTATTGACTAGCTCTGTCTTAAACATTAACCCATTTCTATTAATCTAAATGTTTCCATGTGGTCTTATATTATTGGAGAGAGAATCCGGACCTTTTCTCTCAAGTCCCTACATCTTGAATCTCCTCTCCTACATCTCCCAGAATCCTCCTTGTCTCCTAGTCCCACCTATCTTGCTTCCCTATTTGCTAACAGTGCTTTATTCATTAACCAATAAGAGAAGCATATTTACAGAATGACATCTCCCATCATGTTACTTTCTCTTTTCTCCTTGCAGCTTTAAATATTCCTTTTTTGTTCTCTGTGTTTAGTGTTTTGATTATTGCTTCCTTTTCTGTTGTGTCAATGTTGTGTTCAGTAAGTTTCCTGTAACTTTTTAGGTACCTCCTTCTTAAGGTTAGGAAATATTTTTTCAAGGATTTTGTTAAAAAATATTTTCTGGGCCTTTGAGCTGGAAACCTCCTTCTTCTATTCCTAGTATTCTTAGAGTTGATCTTTTCATAGTGTTCCAGATGTCCTGAATGTTTTGTGTTAGGTATCTTTTAGATTTAACATTTTCTTTGACCACTGTACCTGTTTATTATGTTTTCAGTGACTGAGATTCTCTCTTTCATCTCTTGTATTCTGTTGG